GAAGCTATATCATTTTATCTATGCTCGTGACCTTTGTCCACCGTCCCTGTTCCTAGCCCCAGGAGCCTTCAGATGCCAGATTGCACGCCATCCTTCTGTGAAGGATTCCTCAGGTGGAGGTGGCACTTCCTCATCCAGGCTTCTATAGCAGTTTGTGGACAGCTCTAGAATCGTAAACATAATTGCAATCATAATCTTCAACTTACTGAGCACATGTCACTAATGTTCAAGAAAATTCTCTCTTACCTTTGATGCCTCTCTGCCATGCCAAATAATTAATGGAAATTATTGCTCTCACTTTGCAGATAAGGAAACTGAGGCCCAGATAAGTCAAGAGAATTGCATAAGCCCACCAGGTAAAATATTTTAAGGCTGAAATTTTTTAAATTATATCTCCCTCTATTTTATACGTGGGACGCTGCCACAGCATGGTTTGATGATTGGTGTGTAAGTCCATGCCCAGGATCCAAACCCACGAACCCTGGGCCGCCAAAGCAGAGTGTGCAAACTTTTAACCACTACGTTAAGGCTAAAATTTGAACAACGATCTGACTGATGCCAAAGCCCAATTCTAACTGTTCACCACAGTGCCTCCTCCTTTTTACACACTACTTGAATCATTGATCTAAATGTCTGGCTCCCAGACTGGACTAAGAAATCTTAAGAGCCAGAGACTTTATCTTGCACACATATGTGTCACCAGCAATTCATACTAGGGCTGGCATGTAGTGAGCACTATTTGCTCATCAAAAGAATTGAATGAATGAACAAGCGAATGAATGAACTCTTGTTCTTAGAACGTTCAGTAGAGGCAGCACATCTAAGTTCAGGCATTAAAATGGCCACAACATGGATCTTGTTATTGATCTTGTATCCTATAATCTTGCTAAATTTATTAGTTTTTACAGCTTTTTGTAGATTCTGTAGGATTTTCTACATATACAGTCAGGTCGTTTACAAATAAAAATAGTTTACCTCTGCCTTTTCAGTATCAATAGTTCATTACCAATAGTTCATTCTTTTCCACTGTTGGAGAGTATACAAATCAATTTTTAGAATACAGTTCCTTTAAATATTTAGGAATTTTCTTGGATTTCCCTGTTAGGGTAATATTTAAGCTGATGTAACAAAAAGACCCCAAGTTAGAGTTGTTCAAGTGAAATGGAGATTCATTTCCTTTTATGCAACTCTCTGACTAGTCCTGGGAGAGGGAGTGCATGTGTGTTCCATAAGGGATGCCATTCCCTAGGCTGCCCTCCTTGTCTGCTTGAACAAGGCTGGTCTCTGATGTCTGCCTTCCAGTCTGCAAGAAAACAGGAAGTCCAAGTCAAACAACTTCCTGTTAGGAAAGTAGAGTAGAAGTTGCACATATCTCTTCTATTCACATTACACTGGAGAAAATGCAGCCATCTGGCCACACATATCTGAAGGGGAGGCTGGGCAAGGTAATCTTTAGTTGGACAACTAGAAAAAGGTAGAAAAGATCGGGAGCAATTATCAGATTACCACAGTCTCCAAAAGCGAATGCAATAATACCTTTCTCATTTAATGGTCAGACTTTTGATGACCATCCAGAAAAAAGGCACAACCCTTTACAGTATGTGAAAATGCCATGAACCGAACAGACAGAGGTAGTCCCCAAATCCTGTCTCTATTCCATATGAGAGGAGAGGAGTTATTCCACTCCTAGAGTACTCTAACGTAGCACTGTGACCAAAATAACGGCAATAAAGAGCAGGCTTACATCTGTGGTTTTCCCCTGGCATGCCTCAGTTTTTTCTAGGTTGCTGCTGAAATAAAATGACACACATCAAAGATGTGGAAAGGTGGAGAGAAGCCACACCCTGGCTACAGGGCGAAGTGACAGCTAAGAGCAGGGACGGAGACAGAACACAGCAAATAGGAGGGCAGAACAGTCCGGGATAATTTAATGCAAAGAAAATATTCCTAAACACACTTGAAGGTTCTCTGAAGGCATCACTGTGTTTCTGCCAAGTACAGAAACTGATGTTCCTGAAGGTCAACTGTGGGCAAACCATCCCTAGAAAATGAGTATAGGATCCAACACTCTTTGCGTCCTCTCCATCTCCCCTTACCCGACTGTCTCCATCTCCTCCATACCAAAAACCAATCTCGGGATAATTTTTATCCCAATTAGATAGGATTTAAGTAAACATTAAGAGAACACTTTTAATGAGTAAAGAAATCTCAAAGGAGGAACATAAAACCTAATGGAATGATTTCTGTGTGATCAAGAAAGAAAGTTAAATGGCCCAATATTCACAGAATGAAGTGTTTAAGACAGTTTGTAAAGATATATTTAATAGATAAAATTACATGCTTCCATGCTTTAAGGGCAAACTTTACTTACCCAGACAGCCTCATTAACCAATAGAATTACACAAATCGTATACTTCTTTATAAGTTAAACCTCATGAACTTGACATTGAATAAAGTTTCTCACTCTTTTTCATACTTTGTCATGCAGAGAAAACATGTTTGATGACAATGAGAATGTGTTAATGGATATGTTTCAGGTTATTATTGGCCATAAAAGAGCGTGTGTGTATGTGTGCACGTGCGCATGTGTGTGTATTTTATTTGTGAATTTTCCAAGCCTAAAACTTGGACTTAAGGAGAAGTGTTACTAGAGCAGATCATTCAATCAATTTAAGAATGTCATTTGCCATCATCACAATGAATTTGTCCAAAGGAGGAAAATGATAGTATGGATAGTTCTAAAAGGCAGTAATCAGAAAGAAATTTATATTTGTTTTAAGAATATGTGTGTGTGTGTATCTCTGTATCTGATATTCTTGGTCTTCCCAGCATTTCAAACAATTAATAACGGAACACTTTAAAGGTTAGACTTGAAAAAGTCACAAAGCTTCTAGCTTCCTCCTCTTGACCTCAGTAAAGCTAAGAGTGAAGAGAATTTGTTTTAATTCCACCCAACAGGATCTTTTGTACATCTGCCGTGTATTGATTAGTGATTTGAAGTAACAGAAAGCATCTTTAGCCATCTTCACTCCCAAAGAGGGAATCTGCCATAAAGATATTGAGGAAGAAGTCACCTGGGTCTCAGGAACAAGGAGGATCCAAGACCTAGAAAGCTATCAGAACTCTCTCTGCTGCTCTCTGCGTGGCTACTTCGTTCATTTGCATATGTATATTCTGAAGAACTTTCTCTACTTCTTTAGACCGTGATCAGAAGTTGTACATGTTATACGTCCACATAGACAGACTTGTAATCTCTGAATCCCATTTCTGCATTTCCAGGATAGTAAAACATATTGGCCAGTTTATTTCAGGTTTCTATTCCTAATCCTATCAGCTGTTGATAGGGCAAAATCACGTATATAAAAGTGGCTAAAAGGGAAATGTCCCTAAAGGTGGGGAGGTAGTTCCCAGGGAAAAGAGATTATTTATAAGTGAGTAGATAGTCTCTAATTTATCCTTATACATCGTGTATTTAGCCCAGAATAAGAATTGCGGGAGCAAAAGAGATGTTTATGGCATAATCCCTGCCTTTACAAAGGTCACAATCTCATAGACCCTCAAATACACGTGAAGGAGTAAAATTTAGTATTACATTTAAGCACTGAAGTGATGGCTCTGATCAAAAGGGAGCTGGATATAGTGGAAGCATGACGGAACTTAGAATGAAAAGACATAGGTTCAAATCTTGGCTCCAGCTCCTACTCCTCATGTATCCTTAGATGGGCCACGGATTCTTCATTTGTGGGTCTTCATCTTATTTGTAAAATGTGAATGATTATATTTAACTTAAAGGCATTTTGTGATCATTAAATGCAACATCTACCAAATACATAGGGCACAGTGGAGTCCAGGTTACAACAGTTTGGTTCAACAAGCAAGTGTTAAACATATAAGCTTGGGGAAGCACTGGACAAGATGCTGGCAAGACAATTAAGATATAGGTGTCGTTTGACTTTGCGGAAATCGCAGTCTGTTGGCGGGGGTAGAAAGGAGACAGATGAACAGATAATTTCAATAAAATGGAGTATGTTTGTTGACTATGATTCTGGAAGGGGTTTGGATTGACCTAAGAGGGTTTCGGGGAGATGCTAGGACATAGGCTAGGCCTGGTGTAGGTAGATAGGTTTTGAATAGGAACATTCCATGTCCAACTGGGGTAAAACCTTGAACTGAGCTCTCTCAACTCTGAAACGTTGATACTTCACATTTTCTGCGGCAAGGAAGCTAAGCTAGTACTAAAAAAAGACTTTCTCCAAACACTGCTGTGCTTAAATAAAGAGGCTAAGAGAGATATCAGTACAATTTTTAAGCAGGTTTTTACACGGTAAAGGAAGCTAGAAAATCCACAGTGTAGATCATCATTTAGGTAGTTGAGAACCTATTTTCTGCGCTCAGCGAAAATGAAAATCCTCAAGAAAAGAAATGCACAGTTGATTTAATAGTGTAAGTTCTTAAAATTTATGCCACAAACTAATGCTAGATAAGTTTCAAAGCCACTCTTTGCTGGAGTTAACTGGGAAAAAAAAGGAAGCAATGATATCAGCATTTGACTATTTTAAAGTTGCTGCTTCAATATACTAGTTGAAGTCTGCCAGAGGGATTTACCATCTCAGAACAATTTGTTCACTTCACTTAGGAATTAAAAGTGTGTTTTGGCCGATAAATCTAAATTTATTTTGTAGTAGTCATTTTTCTTAATGGAAGTGTTTTCCAGATGTTGCCTAAGTCTGGTCGTCTGGGCCCTCTTCCAATAAATGAGGAAAGTTTGATTTCATAGGTTGTCACTGTTGATTTTGTCTAACCTTTGGACTAATTGATTCACCGCAATATATTTGCACTGATATATAAGACACCCAGGACTTTGGAGAAATTCATCTATCCTTTTACTGGTAAGTGTCAAAGTTAACTTGCCTCATGGAATTAAATGTGTTTTCAATTCAATAGGAATATACTTTATTAAAGGTGTTTGAAAAAGATTTATAAGGACAGTAGTTGGAAAGTTTTGAATAGGGTCATATGTATGCAATACACCTGTTGAAGCTTATAAATTTATATTGAGAGTTAAGGGAAAGTTGGAAGGATAACTCTTCTGCTTGTTAAATTAAATTTTACTGAAGCTCATTATTTTCTTTTTTCCCAAGAGCGGGTTTAAACCTTCCACTGTAAGTACCTGCTATAATTTGAACAAAGTTTTAAGATAAGGCTGTTTTCTGTTTGGGGAAATTCTAAGTATTAAAATGATCAATAACATGACTGAGATGGTGACTTGATGATTTCTTCTGCATCAGATTAAATCTAATGATCAAATATTTACTGTGGAATTAAGGCTGATTAGTTTTCATAGTCTTGTCTCAAGATAGGACGGTTTTATCATTAAATTGCATTTTAAGAGTTACTGAAACACTGTTATGTAGCACAGGCATAAAGAAGTGGCGAGATTAAAGAGGACTTTTCTGATACTTTTCTTTTCTTTTCAGTGAGGGCTTGGTGCCCGAAAACAACCATGGAGTGGAAAATACTTCCCATTTACTTGTTGCTGCTGCTTTCTATTTTCTCCATTCAGGAAGTTTCTTCTCAAGGTAACTTAACCATCAAAAATACTTTCATTTAACAGCTATTGCTAATCATTCAGTTCTGACTTTTATGACAACAAAAGAAATAGATTTCTAAACATGTACATTTGTTTGAGTTTAATGCATAGTACAATCTTAAAATTATGTAAAGCGTAGGTTGCATATTTATAAATATTTTGGAATTCTCACTTTTTCCTCGTGTACTATGGAAGCTTTCAAGAAGTTTTGAGCTTCTATTGAATAACTTTTGTGTTCTTTATTCTTGTGGTTCTTCCAAAAGTTTAAAAAAATACAGGCACTTAAATGATAAAACTATGCTGGAGTGATACAATATTATTAGATTAACTGAAAAGAATAATATTTAAGTAGCAGGTAATTTTTGCCTACATGGTTACAAAGAAATTTAACTAGTCTTTTACAGAATAAATTGTTGATAAATAAGTTATTTTAGGGGCCGGCTCCGTAGCCGAGTGGTTAAGTTTGCGTGCTCCGCTGCGGCGACCCAGGGTTCGGATCCTGGGCGCGGACATGGCACCACTCGTCAGGTCACGTTGAGGTGGCGTCCCACATCCCACAACTAGAGGGACCTGCAACTAAGATATACAACTGTGTAAGGAGGGGGGGGGGAGACGGTTTGGGGAGATAAAGCAGAAAAAATAAGATTGGCAACAGTTGTTAGCCCAGGTGCCAATCTCTAAAAAAAAAAAAGTCATTTTAGTACCATGTAGATGTAGATATCATATTCCAATGAACATTAACAAAGTTTCAAATGACATTTTTTAATCTTGAAGATGGGCTCTCTTTCTTACAAGGAATATTCACCCAGATATGGACTTACACAGATGTGAATGTCATTTTATATTATAACATTGAACTATTCACAGTCCTTCAAAACAGAGTCGTCCTGGATGACAATTCTTCTTATTCATTTTTAGAAAACATTCGATGTAATCACCTTAGCAAAAGTCTCTAGCATGCAATCAATGTTGAGTAATGACAAAAATATCAATCTAGGGATTTTTGTTTCCCTTTTTTCTTTGATAAGCAAAATCTGAGAGAAGAAAAATCAAGGTCCATGATTGTTATGATGAAATTACATTTATAAAGTAGACATTTCCAGTAAAATAGTTAAAATTCTCATGAACCTGAGCATGAGAGATAACTGCCTGCCATGGACATAGTTTCAGAATCATTTAGATAAGAAAAGATGGAAAAATGCGTGAAAGCAAATATAAATATTTCATAAGGAATGATGACTATTCTGCTATCTCCAGACCCTTCTGATTTCTCATAATAATATTACAAGGTTCATAACACTGGGGGCACTTCGGAATCTACCTTTCCTCTGTAATAAAAAGTGGTTTTTCAGTAAGACAGTTTTATTTTCCTTTAAATAAATGAGTTTAAAATTAGCTGTTAAAATTAATAGCAATAAAAGTAGGACAGACATTTATGAAACTAAACATTTCCTGTAAAGAAAATTGATTTCCCATTGCAGAAATATGCTAAGTGTAAAAGAACAACATTTTGATGCTGTCTTGTCTGCTTTTCTTGCCTTCTTGACCATTTCCCATTCTGTTTTTTCTTTATATATAATATATGTATTTATATACATACACTATATATGCATTTTTGTTGTGTATTGTGTACAAATGTATGCAAAAAGTTCTGAGAGTTGTCCTAATATTTACTGTTTTATTTGTGTATTAAGACATTACCTTTCCTAGACTCACTATTTTGAGATTTTTTCAGTGTTTCAACGTCCCTCTGTGGATTTAGGACATTGCACCTGCCCGTTTCCATTCCAGGGATGGATCCAATTACATCTCTGTGGTTATCTCTCAGGGAGGTTTTCAAGGTGTTTTCCAAATGATTTTTAAAATATAGTTGAGGATAGTTATGCCTTTGTTCTTGTTTTGCCCAGAATAACTCTGTTCATGACCTTTATGTTCATGCCCAGATGCTATTTCAAGAGTTATTTATTTTGTACTCACTTTGGCAGTCGTCTTAAGCATCTGACTTCCCCAGTTATCACCACCAAGAAAGGGAGGAGGAAGTCCAGGAAAGTTCATGCTGGCAATGTAATTGGGTAGGAAAAATCTGGGCTTTAGAATCAGACATATCCGACTTTAAATTCTAGGTGAGTGGTTAATTTAGGATGACCCTATAATTTATTATGCAAATCAGGACACTTCTGAGAGTGAAAGAGGTCAATACAAATAGTTAATAGGTATTAATTGACCTGCCCTATATATACACTGGAACTATTAACTATCTGGTGCCCTCGAGCAAGTTATTACAATTTCGTGTTTCGGCTTCCTTATCTCTAAAAAGGGCTGTTAATACTCTCCTGGCAACATTTTCATAAGCATTAGAGATAACATGTGATTCAGTGCCCAGCACAGACATGCTCAGTAAATGGCACCTCATCATTATCTCAGCAGCATCAATGAGCTGTAGCTGCCACCCCTCCCCCAGAAAGATCACCCCTTTTATGCGAAGCCATTATTTTGCCTGATTTTCAAAAGCGTAGTTATCTTCTCAGTCTAGTAAAGAATAAAGTGGCATGATCAATGTCACCTAAGAGATCAGGCAACAATCAACTGGACCCGTTGCTAACTCTCATTCCCAACCTTTTCTAGTCAATATAATTCTCCCTCTCCCCGCGGCTTTGTCCTCCTCGTTAGATCTCTTCCCTTCTGTCAAGTGGTTTGGCCATGTTCACGCTAGTATTGTGTAATTTTAGATTTATCAAGCTGTGCAGGGAGATGTGGGGAAGGGTATTCTAGAGATGCCACCTGCAACTGTGATTTTAACTGCCAATACTACATGGAGTGCTGCCCTGATTTCAAGAAAGTCTGCACCTCGGGTAAGTCCTGCGAGATGGTGTCTCCTCCGTCAAGCAACACTGTTCTGTGAGAGTCCCCGTGCCCCCTTGCAGTGCTGCTTTCACACTATGTCACTCTTTTTGCTTAAGTGCCTTTCCCTTCCTCGCATAAATGTTGCAGTGTGCTGTACCTAACTATAGCATCAAAGCTTGTGACTACTGGGGGAGGGTGAGGAAGGCGTGGGAATTTGTCACTTGCGCAAGGTTATTGACTAGTGCCAAGGAAAATGTCTTGTTTTAAATAGAGAATAGTGTGACTTGGGAGTCATTAAGTAAATAGAAATGAGTAATTATTTACTACCAATCAGAGATATAATTGCTTAATGATGGGGCCCTTCAATAGTTTCATCAAAAGAATCCATGGATGTAAAATAATTTTGTCTACCATTTGACTTCTCGATATTAATATATTTCTAAATTACCTGAAAAAGTCGCTTTAAAGAGGAAGCATTAGTGTTTAATGAAGAATTTCAGTTAAAACCCAAAGAATGTGAATTTTAAATTATGAGTGGTATTTTATTTGAATATATTTTTCTCCATTTTGTTAACACAGAAACATGCCATATTCAATTTATGAAAATTATAGTTAAAATTGTTTCAAAGTTACATTTGCTTTAAAATTTGCATGTGAAGCTGATAAATATGTTGTTGTACAATTTATGTGATGTATAAGGTAACTATTTCAAACAGGTCTCGGTGAGTCAGCGTGCCTCTAACTGAGACTTTTCGGGAAATGAGCAGCCCTCTCTTACATGGTCCATGCCATGGGATTAGGCTGAAATCTTTCATCTCTACACCTTGCCTAGTTTGTCATAATAAAGGTCTCTGCGTTATAGATAATTTTCGAGCCTAAATAGTGGCTCATTGTAAGCCAGCTCTTTGGAACGTATTATTGTAGAATCTGAATGTTCAATTAACAAAAATCTATTACAAAGCGGTGGTGGACAGAGGAGAGGACAGAGGGATTTCATATGAAAGATACTTCACAATTTAGACTTTTCCCAGTATTCCATTGTCTGTACTTGTAAATGACTCAAGCAGAATTGGGGTATCTCTGGGAACCTTGAAGGGCAAGAAAATTTCCCTAAGCCACATTTCTTTCTTGACTTGGGCTGTCTCTACTTGGCAAACCATCCATTTCTTCCTGGGTGATGTCCTCCAAATTCCAAATAAAGGACATAGATATGTACTTTCGGAACTCTAGTCAGCCGTAAGGTGGGAAATGGTAATCAATATACGGGTGTGGCTGCATCATCAATAATGCACAATGTCTTATTTTGCTCTGGGTAGAGCTTTCCTGTAAAGGTCGCTGCTTCGAGTCCTTTGAAAGAGGGAGGGAGTGTGACTGTGACGCGGACTGCAAGAAGTACGGCAAGTGCTGTTCCGATTATGAGAGTTTCTGTGAAGAAGGTAAGCATCACCGTACCCAAGATGCTTCTGGGTACAGCCGCACCTGGGCCCCTGTCTGAGCTTCACTGACAATGCCTACACACACTCCATCTAAGGTCTTGATTTTACTAACATACAAGCTCTTTCATATTAATTTTGTTTCACCAAGGTGAAATTAAAGAACGGAAGTCTGTAGCAGCAATCCCGGGTTCAGCCAGGCCCCGGGAGCCCCAGAGATCGCCACTTGAGCAACAGAGAGAACAGGGGCTGAATGGACGTGCTTTTTTTCTTCAGCTATGGTTCAATTTCAGGTTAAATCAACAGTAACCAACGCGTTTGATGATTTCTTGTCTCACCCTAATGGTGCTGACCTCACAAAATCAACTGCCCTTTGAGCTATCTGTGCTTTTGGCGTCAATGTTTTTGAACGTATATTTAAGGACAGAATCGACATTTTCATATTCTCTGAACTAGTACATTTCTGTGTTAGTTTAAGGCATTAAATTTACAGGCAAACCTACCAAGAAGTTGTTAACTGTTCATTGTACTTCTCTTCTCATCTCTACAGTCTCCCCAATAGTCTCTAACCTAATGCCTTTGTGTGATGGAGTCAATAAAAAGGCATAGTCCCATTTGAAAATCCTCTTCTCTAGTTACAGGTCCTGGAGGAGTATTCTGAAAGTATAATAGAACCCTCTAGATTTTACCCAAAAAACCAAGATTTTAAAAATATACTTAAATACTGAATTCCTTTCTTTTACCAAATATTTGTTCTTAAATCCTACTTTGTTAAAACAAGAATATTTGTGGAGGTAAAATTGAAAATAAGCATGGCTTGCATAATCTTATTTTATTTAAACAAGGCTGTACCTCCTGCTTCTTTTGAACAGTGGAGAAATAGGATGGAAAACTGTTAATCAGCATAGTTGAGGGACATTTCTTAACTGTTCAGTGTTTTCATTGGAAAGCGTTCCAAAAATAGTGGAGGTAACACTCTGGTAACCAAAAACTCAGAGTGCAGAGTTCCTGCAGCTTTCAGAAGGACCCACAATGAATGATACATATTTATTCATTGTCCTCATAATTGTTTTGGCTGTGAGACAAAAACCTAAGCATTTATTTTGGGCAGAGGACCGGTGGGGAGAGAGGATGGCTAGAGAGTGACAAGGCATTGAGAGAACACATTAATAAAGACAATGATTCATGCTACTAAGTGGTAGTTCAGTTTACCTGAGGTTTACGTAGAACTCAATTAACAAAATTGATGACGGTAAGCTTCCTTTACAGAGTTCACAGAGATAGTCAGGGTTCCAAGTGAAAATAAAGGAAGCACTCAAAGCTTCAATACTTTATTTTTTAAAAATAACAACCAGACTATCTTGCGACTCATCACTTAGTTGTTTCAAGATTGCTATAGATATACTGCTTGTAGGCATCCATATGTCTCAAAATCATAACTTTTCAAGAATCAAAGGAATCATAGCAGTCAAGTGCCTCTGCATGTGGGTGAGAAAACAGTCCAAGAGGTTCATTGTTTTGCTCAAGATCTCTTGGCTAGTACGTGGCAGAACTCTTTCTCAAGTTGAGGCATTAGCGTTTTTGTTGGGTGGGAGGAGAAAGATGGTGGTCAGCTGACGGAGACTGCAGCAGGAGTTCTGAGGAGAAGTTTGGTAAAAACAGCAGGATTTCTCTCACCTCTCCTCCACCCAGAGCATCCCTACTGTTCTCTGCTTTCTTGTCTTTCAGAAGTTCCTCTCCTTTTTATTCTGGCTCCTCAAGATCAAAACATGTCCCAGCTCTTCTCTTCTAGACATGAAAAGGAGTGGGAGGAGGGGCCATAAAAAGCTTAAAAGACACATGTCAAACTGTTAACCGTTGTTTAGCTTGGAGAAGGGCAACAAATTTTGAGAAAAGCATAATGCAAGGTGTGAAATTTTTATAAGAGTGAATATTCATGTAGAACTTTTGTACTTAAAGAAATAAATGAAAGGTAATTTGGCACCATTTGATTTAAATGAATATGAAAACAGGAAAAATGTAATTATATTTCTCTTCTTGAGAGCACAAATACTTGTCATCCACATGCTGTAATTGTTTTTATCATCACAGAAGGCTGGCACAAGGGATGGAGTTCATAGAGTCAATTATTTCTTAGGCAAGGAAACACCTTCAGAAATCATCTAGAATAAACATTTCAATTTGCAGGCAAGAAAATGAAGTTCAAGAGAGTTAACCCATTTGCCCAAGGTCACAATGGTAGAGTCTTGCAGGCCTAGAACTGGAATTCAGGTCTTCTGATTCCTAAGCATTTCCTCCCTGTCATAACTTATAACAATTTGAGAACCAATATTTTATAGCAATGCATCTTCAGAATTAATTGGTTTGGAGTCATTAGCATTGGGCTAGAGCCTGCCTGTGCTGGTTTTCACCAGCATCTACTTTTGGAGCCAGATACATCCACGCCTTTCACAGTTAGTGTTGTGATGAATATGAACAAGATGTTAACCCACCTGTCTTGCTTGGCCTCAGTGCATAATCCCACATCACCACCATCTTCAAAGACTGCGCCTCCGCCTCCAGGAGCATCTCAAACCATCAAATCAACAGCCAAACGTTCACCCAAATCAAACAAGAAGAAGACTAAGAAAGTTATAGAATCAGAGGAAATAATAGAAGGTAGGAAGATGACAGCTGTAACAAAAGGAGGTTTCTGAGATGAAATAACCGTAGGTGGCCTACTTTTACAAGACTTCTCATAGAACAGGGTAGTCTTATGAGTCATTAAAGGCTCGTTACACTTTTACTTGTTTTATATAAACAGGTATTTATTTTCCTTATTTACCAAACCCAATATGGATGGGTCTAGGTTAAAATAATCAGAAGAAACAAGTGTTACTGTAAAACAAGAGCAAAAACAAACAAGCAAAAAAGCCCATGATTTTCTTTGCAGAATCATTAGATTCTGTGAGATATAAGAAAGTCATACAGTTATATTGTATTTGTGATCAGCTCAAGTGTGTTGCTTTTAACCAACAGTTAAATTAAAATGTCAATTGATTACATTACGGATAAAATAAAGGCAGAATACAGACATTTGTAAACTAGTGGACAGCATTTCTTGTATTTGGACTGGCAATTCTTTTCTGCTTTAAATCACAGTTGGTGTGATCAACCTTTTTATTTGATTTATAGAACATTCTGTTTCTGAAAATCAAGAGTCTTCCTCCTCCTCTTCCTCTTCCTCTTCAACTATTCGGAAAGTCAAGTCTTCCAAAAATTCAGCTGCTAATAGAGAATTAAAGAAGAAACCCAAAGGTTTGAGCATTGATAAAGATCAAAGGCTATATCAATGCCATGCTAACAATCATTATGTCAAAGTAATGTGTGTTGGTAGAATGATTTGAGGACATTTCAATATTTGGGGGGGGGTGTATAGCTTTATAAAAATTATTTTAGAAGATACCAATGAAAACTTCCATAGGAAATTAGTGCCAAGCAGCTAAGAAACCACTCCTTAAAACAAAGGAATAAAAAGATGCTATAGCAGCAACCGTGGAACCACAGGATGGCACCAGAGATGATTATTTATGGTTTTCTATTTGAATTCCTTTCTATCTGAAATCATTTTTCTTTCTCCTCCTTCTTCCTCTATCATCCTTGCGTTTTCATTTTTCCTTCCTCAGATTTTTTTTTTTTAACAAACGCATGTACTACTTTAAGTGTTTTAAAATGTTAATCCGTTAAATTCTCGTACACCTCTCTTGGAAAGGCAATATTATCATCCAGATTTTACAGATCCTCTTTATGATTTTCCTAATAAATTGCATGTCATATCTGGCTGATTTTTCTGTGGTAGAGAATGAACAACAGAGTAGGCTGTTACCTCCTGAAAAGAGATTCCCTTTGTTCTGCTTTTCATAATTTCCTGAATTCCTAAAATATATTCTCTTTCTCCAGGAAATACTGAATTCTGGATACTGGAGTTTTGAAGAACTTATTTCCTGGGTGGTTGTGACTTCTCTTGAAGTCTTCTCTCTTGCCGAATAGCCAGATATTTAATCTTTGAGTCATTCAGAGAGTCTTGCACACAATAGAAGTGCAAAATATGTTTGCTAAATGGAACTCATCTCAGTGATGTGCCCCTTGGGCTCTGTAGTTCACCTATGGGGTAGTTGCTATGGGAAATCCTGTTAGACAGGGTCTTTTTGCTGCCGTGGCATCCTAATCACCTCTCTATATCCACTGGGACTGTCAAGTTTAGGTGGGCAGAGGAAAGAGAGCGGCTAACAGCCATGCCTATGGAAACAGGGCTCAGCAAGGACTGTGGAGGTGACTGGAGCAGAGCCCTTAGGTGCAGTTGTAGAGGCCTCTGAGGCAATTGGTGTAGTGAATCTACAAGATGTTGGAACTAGGTTTCCAGGAGGAAGGAAAGGGCACTGAGCAATGAGGAATAAGAGGAGTGGAGAAAGTGAGGGGCAAAGAGTGTTTAAACATAGAGAGATGCATTCAGTGTTATTGATTGTGTTGGCAATTTCAGTCGCCACTTGTTTCCATGTGTTACTTGTGTAGAGTTTCACTTGTGCTTTTCACCCCTTATCTTATTCATTCCCTAAAATAGCCAAATAAGATAGGTTGAGTATTTACCATTTCACAGTAAATTAATAGACAGATTAGAGGCAGCAATTTGCCTAGAGACACACTGCTAGTCAGTGATAAGGATCTTTATGTCACTATTAAAGAAGGAAAAAACGATTACAATAAAAGACATGTATTTTTTTCTCTAGTAAAAGACAGCAAGAAGAAAAGAACTCCTAAAAAGAAACCTACTCCAGAACCACCAGTTATAGATGAAGCTGGAAGTGGACTGGACAATGGTGATTTCATGCTCATCCCAACTCCTAAGATTCCTACCACCCAACGCAACAAAGTTACTACATCTCCCAAGATTACAACAGTAAAACCAATAAATCCTAAACCCAGTCTTCCACCTAATTCTGATACATCCAAAGAGACAACTTCAACACCCAATAAGGAGACAACAGTTGAAACTAAAGAGACAGAGATAACAAATAAAGAGACTTCAACTAGTGCAAATGAGAAGACTACTTCAGCTAGAAAGAGTACAGAGAAAACATCTGATAAAGATTTTGCACCCGCATCTGAAGTTCCTGCTAAATCTACACCCAAAGCTGAAACTACAACCAAATCCCCTTCTCTCACCACCACCAAGGGGCCTGCTCCAACTACTGCTAAGGGGCCTGCTCCCACTACCACCAAGAAGCCTACTTCCACCACCACCGAGGGGCCTGCACCCACCACCCCCGAGGAGCCCGCTCCCACCACCCCCGAGGAGCCTACTTCTACCACGACCAAGGAGCCCGCACCCACCACCCTCGAGGAGACCGCTCCCACCACCCCCGAGGAGACGGCTCCCACCACCCCCGAGAAGCCCGCTCCCACCACCCCCAAGGAGCCCACTTCTACCACGACCAAGGAGCCCGCACCCACCACCCCCGAGGAGCCCGCTCCCACCACCCCCAAGGAGCCTGCACCCACCACACCCAAGGAGACGGCTCCCACCACCACCAAGGAGCCCGCACCCACCACCCTCAAGGAGCCTGCACCCACCACACCCAAGGAGACGGCTCCCACCACCACCAAGGAGCTGGCACCCACCACCCTCAAGGAGCCTGCTCCCACCACCCCCGAGGAGTCCGCTCCCACCACACCCGAGGAGACGGCTCCCACCAGCCCCGAGGAGCCCGCTCCCACCACCCCCGAGGAGCCCGCACCTACCACGACCAAGGAGCCGGCACCCACCACCCTCAAGGAGCCCGCTCCCACCACCGCCGAGGAGCCCGCTCCCACCACCCCCGAAGAGCCCGCACCTACCACGACCAAGGAGCCGGCACCCACCACCCTCAAGGAGCCCGCACCCACCACCGCCGAGGAGCCCGCTCCCACCACCCTCAAGGAGCCCGCTCCCACCACCGCCGAGGAGCCGGCTCCCACCACCCCCGAGGAGCCCGCACCTACCACACCCAAGGAGCCCGCACCCACCACCCTCAAGGAGCCCACTCCCACCACCCCCAAGGAGCCCGCACCCACCACCACCAAGGAGCCCGCACCCACCACCCTCAAGGAGCCCGCTCCCACCACCCCCAAGGAGCCCGCACCCACCACCACCAAGGAGCCCTCTTCCACCACACCCAAGGAGATGGCTCCCACCACCCCCGAGGAGCCCGCACCTACCACACCCAAGGAGCCCGCACCCACCACCCTCAAGGAGCCCGCTCCCACCACCGCCGAGGAGCCCGCTCCCACCACCGCCGAGGAGCCCGCTCCCACCACCCCTGAGGAGCCCGCACCTACCACGACCAAGGAGCCCGCACCCACCACCCTCAAGGAGCCTGCACCCACCACCCCCAAGGAGCCTGCACCCACCACCACCAAGGAGCCCTCTTCCACCACACCCAAGGAGACGGCTCCACCACCCCCAAGGAGCCAGCTCCCACCACCCCCAAGGAGCCTGCACCCACTACCCCCAAGGAGCCCGCTCCCCCTACTCCCAAGGAGCCCGTTCCCACCAGCCCAAAGGAGCCTGCACCCACCACCCCTAAGGAGCCCGCTCCCACTACCTCCAAGGAGCCTGCTCCCACCACCCCCAAGGAGCCCACACCCACCACCCCTAAGGAGCCAGCTCCCACTACCTCCAAGAAGCCTGCACCCACTAGCCCTAAGGAGCCCATACCCACCATCCCTAAGGAGTCTGCATCCACCACCCCTGAGGAACCCGCACCCACCCCCCCCGAGGAGCCTGCTCTCACTACCCCCAAGAAACAGGCTCCCACCACCACCACGGAGCCTATACTCACCACCCCTAAGGAGCCTGCACCTATCACCACGAAGGAACCTGCTCTGGCCACTTCCAAAAAGCCTCCGCCCAGCCCCACCCCCAAGGAGCCCGCTCCAACTTCTCCTGAGACACCTGCTCCAACCACCTCAGAGGCCTCTACTACAACTACCACCATGAAGCCTCCCACTACTCCCAAGAATCTTGCTGAATCAACTCCTGAGTTTCCTGCAGAACCCACACCAAAGGCTCTTGAAAACAGTCCCAAGGAGCCGGCTGTACCTACGACCAAGGCTCCCGAAGTGACCAAACCTGAAGTAACTACAACAGCTAAAGACAAGGTAACAGGAAAAGACATACATACTATACCTGAAATTACAACCGCTGCACCTAAAATTACAACAGAGACAGCAACTACAACAGAAGAAAAGACCACTGAATCCAAAGTAACAAGTACAATCATGCAAGTAACGTCTACAACTGAAGATACTACGACATCATCCAAAATTACTCCCAAAGCTACAACTCTTGCACCCAAAGTAATGACTGCCACAAAAACAACTACAACCCAAGAAACTATAAATAAACTGGAAGAAACAACAGCTATACCAAAAGATACAGCTACTCATTCTAAAGTGACAACTCCTAAACCTAAAAAGCCAACCAAAGCACCCAGAAAGCCCACTTCTACCAAAAAGCCCAAAACACCACGTAAGAGAAAACCAAAGACTACACCAATTCCCCCAAAGATAACTACACCAACAACGCCCAAATCGAACCCTACCACTTTAGCGGAAGCCATGCTCCAAACCACCACCAGCCCTAACCAAACTCCTAACTCAGCAATGATTGAAGTAAATCCAAAGAATGAAGATGCAGATGCTGCTGAAGGAGAAAAACCTCTCGTGATTCTCAGGCCCCATGTGTTAACTCCTATAGTTATTCCAGGTCCTGATTTCTTAGTGAGAGGACCCAATCTGGGCATTGGCATCAACCCCATGCTTTCAGGTAATAAGAATGAGTTACCTTCACTTTAAAAATTGGTAATATCATCATAAGTCTATCTGAACTAGAATGCCCTGACTTAGTATCACTCTATTGATATATATTGTCCAGCGTCTCAAACTTAGCTTGAGAAATTTTACAGCTTCAGTGTAGGTAAGCAGGAGTAACCACAGTGAGCTCAGTTGGTCTTTGGAAAATTGAGTAATAACCTGTGTTAGGAATTTAGTGCCTCTGTCTCTGTAACAAGCAGAGATGGTATATAGAACGTCAGAAATATTTAGTTGGGAGTCTATCCTTACAGTACAATGCAAAGCAAAAATCTGCAATAGTATTTTCTTTTCCAAACCAATTCCCAAGGGCAATCAGAACTGAAAAGGAGAATTTCATGCTGAGATCAAACATCTAATAATTGCCTAATTTACATGAAGATCAGGTAACCTGGCCCCTTCCAATTCATAATTTATTTTTATACTTTAAAAATAATATTACCTTTAAGTAAAATAATTATGAAATATATCACTTCTTTTTCACCTCTGAAATACACATGCCTCAAACTATACCCTTCAAGAGTTTAGGCAAGGGTGAACAGAGGAAATGGATTTGAAAAAAATGAACTTTTCTCATTTTGTTTTATATTGGCTTAAGTTTTTCTTAATTTGTTTTAGATGAGACTAATTTATGCAATGGTAAACCAGTGGACGGACTGACCACTTTGCGCAACGGGACGTTGGTTGCATTTCGAGGTGAGCTATGCACACGTTCCTTTTTCTGCCCATCATTCTGTTCTTGGTGTTTATGAGAACCGGAGCCACAGCAAAGTGGGAGTTTGGGTTGAGCTTTGGAGGGGAACCTGATTGAGGAACTTACCTCACAAAATATTATGAGAACCTGAGAGTAAATTACCAAAATATTGTATTAACAAAATTAGACACATTAAAGTAACAAACAAAACGAAGAACTTGAACTGCTACTAAGATTTTTCCTACCGTTAGGAATTAAAAGGTAGTTCAAATTTTAATTTTGGGGGCCGGCCTGGTGGCGCCGCAACTGAGTTCTCATGTTCCCCTTTGGTGGCCCAGGGTTCGCCAGTTCGGATCCCGGGTGCGGACATGACACGGCTCAGAAGGCCATGCTCTGGCAGGTGTCCCACGTATAAAGTAGAAGAAGATGGGCACGGATGTTAGCTCAGGGCCAGTCTTCCTCAGCAAAAAGAGGAGGAGCAGCAGCAGATGTTAGCTCATGGCTAATCTTCCTCAAAAAAAAAATTTTATTTCGTATTAAGTGAAGTGACATCAGGATTTGTATTCCTTGTTCTATTTTATTTTAAAATGACATCTTGATTGTGATGTGTTCAACAGTGTTGTACTCTTTGTGGGGGAGTAACAGAAGTTATTTCATGTTAATTTTCTGCTGTACCGTCTGCTGGCCTAGTCTTTTTATATTTAGATTAAATTTGAAAGGAAACAAATCAGACACAAAGTAGAGGCTAAAGAGATTTCAGTAGTCATTTAATTATGACTCCCTAATTCTAAAAGATAAAGAAATTGAGAGATAAGGGGACTTTCTGTTAAGTCACAAAGCCAGGCGGCTTTCTAGAGAAACTGGAAAACTACACTATTTCAAATGTATGCTAAATTTCAGACTTGAGAAATAGCTAGTCTCAGAAATGTTCAAATACTGCCTTCTGTACTAGCACTCACAGTTCTGACTAAACTTCTAATCATACAATGCTTATTAACGTATTCAATCTGTTTTTATGATAAACTATTTACATTTTCTTCTTTTTGGTTTCTTTTGGGATATTTTTTAGTATTCATTCAGCTTGTAGCCTGATCCACCACTTTCAATTTTAGGTCATTATTTCTGGATGCTACGTCCATTCAGCCCACCATCTCCACCTCGCAGAATTACTGAAGTTTGGGGTATTCCCTCCCCCATTGATACTGTTTTCACCAGATGCAACTGCGAAGGAAAAACTTTCTTCTTCAAGGTAAGAGAAGTATCTTTGTGAGAGGAATCAGTAGTTATTTTTTGTTTATGATGACAACATAAATCAGCTTAACCTCCATTTCAAAGTCTCCATACTTTAATGAACTAGTCTATCACCAAAATTTAATAAAAAGCTAACACAATTTGACATTAAGGGTCAACTTATTCAAACACTTAACTAAGTTAAAACTTTCTCCCTATACTTAAATCTAAGAATAAGCTTCTAACCATTTTTCCCCTAAAGCTGTTAACATCATCTTTTCTTTTAAATTATCAGGATTCTCAATACTGGCGTTTCACCAATGATATAAAAGATGCAGGGTATCCCAAACTAATTTCAAAAGGATTTGGAGGACTAAGTGGAAAAATAGTGGCAGCTCTTTCAATAGCCACATACAAGAACAGACCTGAATCTGTGTATTTTTTCAAGAGAGGTATGTGCTACATAATTGACAAAATTACAAAACTTTTAAGAATTTGCCAGGGAAATTTTATTCATTATTCCCATTTATTATGGGGTTTGCTGTCAAAAGATACCTTTAATGGCTAGAATCAAGTATTTTCAATGAAAAAATAAAAAATGGGGGCAGTAAGAAGCATTTAGATCTCACGACACGCAAAACACCATTCCTTCTGAGTTCTCAGGTCATTGATATAAAGAATGTCATCATTTACTTTCAAACAGTTAAATGTATAACTATGCAATTGGTTGGCTTTATTCATTCAACAAATATTTCAGGATTTAGTAATTATTTTTATACTGTGTACCCTTGACTAATAGCCATTATTAACGTCTGGACATATTTTATGAAAAATATGAAAATCACTGATGGTTTCCTCCACCTTATAAAGGCTCTTTTCCATCTTTTTGGGGATTATAATTAATTTTCATATTATCTGTGCTTTTCTAACACACAATAGGTGGCAGGATTCAGCAGTATATTTATAAACAGGAACCCATCAGAAAGTGCCCGGGAAGGCGGCCTGCTATCCATTATTCGGTGTATGGGGAAGCACCGCAGATTCGGAGACGCCGCTTCGAACGGGCTATAGGACCTTCTCAAACACACACCATCCGAATTCACTATTCACCCGTCAGAGTCTCTTATCAAGACAAAGGTAATGTTTTTTACTGTGATAAAAATTCTTACACAAGAAAGAGATGTAATACAGTTTCTTAGAGATTAAGGCTTACAAATATAATTACTGACCAAAGAGCTCTAATACTTTAAGCTTATTGATGCAAAATATCAATTTGCCTCAGTGAATGACCAATACCCTTTTCCTCTGTGGGTGAGGAATGCACTTTATTCAGGTTTGTTAATTCTAATAAATACCATTTATCAAGTACCTCTCACCAAGAACATTATATATAAATCTGTAACCCTCAAAACAATCCTGAAAGGTAGGTAAGTATTTTTCACGCCATGTTTGAGAGGGCAAAAACCAAGGCACCCAAGTTAAATAACTTACCCCAGGTAAAAGAGCTACTAAGTGAGCAAACTGGGACTAAACCAGGTCTGTCTGACTCCAACAGCCGCTCTTTCCAACACACTACATCACCTTTCAATCTGCTATCTTTAAAGTGCCCTCCACAGATTTCCTCCATAATGAAGTTAAAGTGAGTACGCTCTGGAGAGGACTTCCCGATACGGTTACTTCCGCTATATCACTGCCCAACCTCAGAAAACCCGATGGCTACGATTACTATGCCTTTTCTAAGGGTAAGTTATCATAAGTAAAATCTTAACAGCTTCCCAAAGGTGTGATCTAATCTCCGCAATGTGAATAAAATCAAAGCGAAAGCACCAAGTGTTCACTGATGCTAATGGTGTCAAGTTAAACTGTAACACTTACTCAAATTGTTGTGAAGAGAAACTTTAGATTTTCCCTTTACTTTCAAATTAAATTGAATGGATTGGAATTCAATTCTGCCCTATCCTTCATGAGATTAAAACCTATTATGATAAAACATCCAATTAACTGAGTAAAATTACTACTGAAAACAGTATTTCGTTTCTATCATCTGTGGCATTTAATGGAGGCCTTGTTTGCCACAAAGCTATACTGATCTGCATTATTACACAGTCTTTAAGATCAGAAAGAAGTTCTAGAGAAACTAATTTTACTAATTAAATTATATTACCTGGGACACTCTTCCTTGAAAAATCCAGAAATTTAAGTTAGTCTGCCTATATAAATGACATCGAAATGTATTTTTTAAAAGGATAAAACTCAAGTGAATTATTTTTTAAACTAACTTGTTTTTTCTCAAATTCTTACTTTGAAAAAGGAGAGTTGAACCTAATTTTATTGAAAGATGGTGAAAGGTCAATCTGCCAAAGTAATTTTTTTCTTTTTGTCTGAAAGTTCAATTAATTAATGCAAACAATTCTGATATTAAAATGATAAACACTGAGTATAATAATCAACATAAGCCATTTTTAAGTTCTAGTGTTTTGTTCTCTTTTAATTAAAAAAATGATTTCTCTTCTATTTAGATCAATACTATAACATCGATGTGCCTAGTAGAACAGCAAGAGCAATTACTACTCGCTCTGGGCAGACCTTATCCAAAGTCTGGTACAACTGTCCTTAGACCGATGGGCAAAGGAAGAGTCGACTAATTAAAAGGAAGAAAAGAATGACACTGAAATACATTTTATTAATAAAGAATGTTGAGATAAGCATACCAATTTAAATACAAAAATGTTTTTAAACTCGACAATCATTACACTAAAACAGATGTGACAATCTTATTCACATTTATTACAGTTTGTAGACATTTAATTAATGTTTCCTCTATTTATTCCTCCTCTCCCTCCCATTGCATGGCTCACACCTGTAAGAGAAAAAAAGAATTAAACTGAACGCATCTTTTAAGAAGCGAGCTCAAAACTAGAGTATTCATTTACCCTAGGTTCTTATAAAAATTTTTCTCTATCAATTATCTAGGCATGTAGATATGAAACTGTACTAGCTATTTCACATCTTCAATGGAAATATTACAACAATTAGATTAACATTTTTATGACATGAATGCAATCTCTAATAGTTACATTGGAAAACGTTTTTTTTACTAGCTAAACAAAGTCACAAAGCTTTATTCTATTGAATAAAAAGTATAATTATAGGCAGAGATGTAACAAATGACTATATAGCACTATAATACTTCAGCTTCTCTAAATCTTACTTTGAATTCACGGAAGAAATGGATAAATATAGAAGAACATATTCACTATATACTTATGGTATACAATTTTGTCTGCAAGAAGCTTACAGATTAGTAAACATCACATGCTTAATGTGTAATTATTTAATCAATCCTGGAACATTTTAAAAAAACAAGATACAAGCTGGAAGCCTAAGGATTAGAAAGTTTGCTCCATTTATTCCTGTCCTGCATCCTATAATGTAATCAATGTTAGAAATTTACCTCTCTGTCTGTTAAATTGACGACCACGGACACCTTGTCTCAATGTTGTCTGAAGTCTTACTCGTCTGAAAGGCTTTGGTTGACTACTGCTAGTATCTAAGAAGAAAAACATTAAGATACAAGAAAGTAAGTTAAAAAACAAGAAAGCAGCAATAGTGGCAAAAACTAATTACTAAATGAATGCCTGGACAAAATGCAGAGGTGTGCATTTGCTTTCAATATTTAAAAGCTGTTTGTTTTTAAACAAGAAATATTTAACAAACAAAAGAAACGGCAAAAATTAAAAAAAAATCTTCCCTATTTGAAAAAAAGGTGCTTGACTTTTTTCATTCCTTCACTCAACTAATTTAATAAATATTTACTTGGTGCCTAAGACACTGTGCTACGGGTTGGGGAATACAATGGAAAACAAAGTATCATGTCCCTCAGGAAACAACAGTCTACTAGAGAATAACATGACTCATATCTGATTCTTCTCTTTTCTGGACACTCCAAATCCCATCATTAGCAAATGTGGCCGGCTCTAATTTAAATACATATTCCAAATCTGACCTCTTCTCACAACCTTAACTCTACCATTCAGCCTAAAACATCACAATCTTTACCTTGAATTATTGCAATATCTTCCAAACTTTCTCTCTGGTTCTGCCCATTACTCATTTTCAGTCTCTTCTCTACACAGCAGCCAAACTGATACTGTTGTCTTTAAGTCAGATCTGTCTCTACTCGGTTTGAAGCCCTCCAAAAGCCTGCTATATCCATGAAAGCCAAAGCAATTCCAATGATCTACTAGATCCATCCTCTCCCACCCCCATCCTATCTCCTGCCAGCCTCTCTCTTCCTTACTGTGCTCCGGCCACACTGGTCTCCTTGCTGACCTTGAACACAACACATCGCTGCCTTATGGACTTTGCATCTGCTATTTCTTTCATCCTGGAACACTCTTCCCCCAGATAACTGCACAGCTTCTCTCCATTAGCTCTTTCAGGTCTTTACTTAAATATCACTTTCTTAGTAATGCATTCTGTGAAACTGCCTGGCACTCAAATTGAATAAGTGCTCAGATGGGAGGTTTAGTATTTTATATTATCAAATAAATTTAAAGACATCTTAATTTCACATTATACTGTACAAGGGAAGAAGAACTATATTCTTTGATGCAAGCCCTGGTAAGATGTAACTAGCATTCATTCTCCTGTTGAGGAAAGACAACTTTCACGGGACATCAGAATATAACTGGGGGTACAGAACTTCAGTAATTGTATTATTAATAATCAGGATAGGCACAATTTTCTTCAGCCTTATTAACGTGTAAACCATTGAGCTATATACTTTACATACATTATTTCTAATCTTGAATGAAAGATGAGTTACGAATGTCTGTATTTCATAATGAAATGTGCAGAGATTTAGTTACCAGCTGTTAAAAGGTGGATATGGGATATAAACCTAGGGATGCTGGCTAACAGGCTGATGTGTCATAGAAAAGCAGCAGAAAGGCAGAAGAAGAAATTCTGAGACAGCAAAGTTCCATGATTGAAAAAGGTAGTAACTAAATAGATAGATCTTCCATAAATCCTGAAGGTTCTATGGCAGAGTTTGAGAATTACTGCTATAAACAATTCAAAAATAAAAATAATCAAGAGTGGATGACTGAGGACTGTATTTCTTCAATAATATGAGTAATTCCCTACCTAAAAATTGTGAGGTAGATAAGTTAGTATAGTGTATTGTTTAAGAGTAGAGTCTCTGGAGTCAAACTTCTTGAGTCTGCATCCTGGCTTGCCCATAATTTACTAGCTATGTGACTTTGGAGAAGTTACTCAATCTTTCTGTGCCCTAGTTTCCATATCTATAAAATGGGGATGAGTGCTTACCACATTGGGTTGGTGTGAGAATTAAATGAATATATAATATGTAAATGGCTTAGAATACTGCCTGATACACAGTAAGTGCTCAATAAATGTTAATTATGTTGTAAAAATAATACAGAAATAATTTTTATTGCAGGAAAGATACATTAAACAGCATTTTTCAAAGTCAACTTAAAAAAAGCACTAAACTTTGAAACTGTTTATATCAGTAAGTTCAAACAGTTTTGTGAAGCAACAGACCTCCCACACCTCAACTCTCTATATCAAATCTCATGTAGAAGAAATAAAAATGGAGCAGCTCTGGGTTAAACAGAGGCAGGAGACCTGAAATACTACTCCTTAGCTTCCCTCCCAGTAATCCGTTCCTCAGCCCCTGGAGCACCTCTAATAGAACCAATTCCCCTTAATATAAGCCAAGTTCCCTTTAATAGAATAAAATTTCCCTTTGAGGTAAAGCATCTTAAAATTCAGGGGAAAAAAGGATTATCAAGTTGTTACTAATAAAGCAGTGTCTTTTGCAAATAAGTTTGATGTATCAAAGCTGTATTGCAGTCAAGAGCCAGAACTTACCTACAGAAGAACTAGAAGGAGGATCCTGGCTGGTGGAAGGAAGGTCTGACTCATCAGATGCCTGAACAGGTTCTTCTTCCTGCTGGCTATCAATTTCTAGGCCTGCTTCTGAACTAATACTAAGAAAGGAAAACAAAAATTGATTAGAAAGTATAAAACTGATCCTAGAGTATATTCTAAATTGTTCCCAAACTCTTTGTCACTTCAATAACCCAGAGCTCCCCTCCAACTCAAAATTGCAGCTCGATATTGGTAACCATACATTTTTAAAGGGACAGCGGGAAAGAGAGCTCAAGTTGCTTTTCCTCATTCCTCTTCTCACGAGGATATGTTCCAATTTCAGTTTTTGTTTTCCTTTTTTGTTTGTTATTTTTTTTTCTTTTTGATGAAGGGTATTCATATTCTTGACATTCACAAGAGATACATCATCCAGATTTTGATAAATCTCAAAACAACTTCTCAGAAACAGAGAACTAAAACAATTCACAACTATTAATAATAACTCACCATGTGCTCTAGCCCAGGTGAGATAGGCTGTGGGTATGTGAATTCTTGGTTCAATGGCTAAAACTCTCTCTCTCTCCCCCATTCGAGAAAGCACATCAAAAAGCAAGTGAGGGAGATAAGAGTATGAGAATAACTTGAATCTGCTCCAGTTTTTATCACAGGCAAACTTTAGTACAATTATTAGTAACGATATACCTGAAAGATACCTCTCAAGACTACGTGCTGAGGTTGAGAAGAGCTGGTGAAGTGTAAAGTGCATGAGGCTGAAGTCAGGAGTCAAATCCACTCTGAACCAGTTACCAATGGTATAGTCTAAGCAAGTTATTTAAACATGCTCTGAGTCTGAGCTTTCTCATTTGGAAAATGGAGAGAATACTTTGCAGAGATATTGCGTGGGTCAGAAATGACATATATGAAGTGACCTACATATATGGTATGGAATTTAATGGCAGCTAGTGTTCTCAGCAGGGTCTGTAACCTCTAAAAAATTAAGTAGCCCTGTGTCAGAGCATAATAATAAAACTGCTTTTTTCCTCATATACTAGAGTTGGCTTATAGTTACACTAAGAAAATATTGCTAAATAAAACAAAATCTTTAAGCTCTACCTAGGAAATTTGAGTTCTACTTCAAGCTATGCTTCTGACATGAAGTAGTCCAAGTTTTTTTATTTTATAAAGAATTAGGTTCCACCTTGAAAAATTAACTTCTCCAAGACCACTGTCGAGTGGTTCTTTACACTAAATTACTCTACTTCCTTTGGCTTAAAAAAACTCCAGATGACTTATCATGAAAAACTTCTTTTGTTAAACTTTGTGTATAACTAATCCGTTAAAAATGTAGTCAGGTCTTGAAAACTGCCAGGATATTTCTAATTTCTAAGAAGTCAGTATCTCAAGCACCAAGTTCTAAATGCACATAAATAAACAATAAGTGAGGTATACTTGAGAGCCCACTACTAAATGGAAAGTGAGCCATTTCCGAATATTTCTAATTTTCACAGAAAGACTTCTTTCTTGGGGAAAAGTTCAGGTAGCTACATTAATGGAAGGGTACCAGTAATTTTAAAGAAATACGTTTTTCTTGAATACAACACGCAAGTTTCAGGGAGATAACCATTTTTAAAAATTGTCTTCTATAATAACAATCTTTAAGTCCTAAGATATATTACTATATGCAAAAATTAGTTTTTTAAAATATATGGCTCGGTTTACTTTTTAATAAGATGCTATTGAAAATACAGCTCAGCAGATTGTTTCCTGGCTAAAGGAAAACAAATCTAAAAGTCTGGTGAGTCCAAAGCAAGCAAAAATTACAAAGTAAACATTTACCCTTCAGATTCTGCCTCCACAAATACTTCATCTCCATCATCACCTGTTGCTGTTTCATTTGTTGTGGATAAAGT